CCATTCTCTGCTGCTAAACTAATTATAAAACCATAACTACTATGCCACTCTTATATCCCACCCCAAACCCTTGACTAAGTATTATATTTTAGTCAAATGCAATGACATAAACTTGCCCCTGGAAATATGAGGTAATCGAAATCAGAGACGCATTCGTCGAAAGACCGACATCATCTCTTGCTCGTCTTGGACTCTTGCTGAGCTTGGCATAATAGCCTATCAAGGTCCAAGTTCATAGGGTCGCTGCAACTTATGCGAGGAGTATCATTTCGTTGACTGAATGGAGTCCAAGGGGATGGCCCTCTTATATATCGAACAATGTTATACGAACTGCTCTGGGAAACCCTATTGGTTTCCGTCATTAGTACAGTCGCTTGGATACGGAGGTAAAGGGTATCCAGCTTACAGACTAGAAAAAGGCTGGATACTTTGGCTAGAGTCTGTATTGGAGTGCGGCATAGTGTTTGCGCTGAAACTTGCAGACGTAGATAAGACAAGTATTGGGCTAGCTCGTGCAGAAGCTTCGCTTGAGGTCTTAAAAGATGTCGCCGAATCTCTCGAGGATCGTAACGGTTATAATTCAGCGGATAGGTGGTATGTCATTATCTTCATCTTGACTACCGACGCTTCGTTTCTTTATATCCGCCTTCTCTGGCTAATCGAGACACCGATGGCCTAAGAAGTCTCCCTAAGGACTTGCCGGTGAGCCTCAACGAGAGATACACTGGCATCTTGAAAACATCAACTCCGCTCCCTTGAGAGAACGATTTGATCCGCACCCTCCATTCATCATTTGTTGCCATTATCCAATAACGAGATGTCCTCGACTGGCCGATGGCTGGCCTGCGACAGGGCAACTACATGTTCTTGCTTTGATCTCAGCTGAAGCTGGAACGCTTCAGGTCCAGTCGAGCGACTTCTTGCATAGAGGGGGCGATGGCGTGCATCAGTGGAACTGCAGCACTAGGGGTATTATTCTCGTAGGGCTGATTTCCGATTTTGGGAATCCCATATCGATGACGCGAGCGTCAGGGTATACTGGGTGCCTCAGCGGCTCCTGAGACCGAGCACGCTGATCCCTATTTACTCTGTTATATAAGACCCCGACTGGTGGGACTAGATGCTAGGCTTATCTGAGTCTGTCTAACAGGCTTAATTGGCGGAAACAATGTTTCTGCTTGCCGCACCTGTCGGAGACTCATAGAGGCACCCGCCATAAGCAAATCAGCTCTTCAATGCAACTGGAGGGATCATGCCAGCCTGCTGCATTCTGCACGCCAGAAATAGGGGAGGCATCCTCCCACCACGCCCCCATTGTCCAATGACAGAAACTAGTTTCTTGCGTCAGCAACGGTCGCCGTCATGACCCAATCACAGCCCTCCGCCGCCGTCCACCCTTGTTATGCTCAGATAGTCCGCACTCTAACCCGCATAGCTTGGGGGGCTGAGCCCATGAGGCAGCAATATGAGCGAGGGGGTTGTCATTTCCTGTTTTCCTGTTTCGAGTCTTGTCCCAAATTCTCAGGTTGTTCTACTTTTTCTCAACACTCGTTTATCGTTTGATTTCATCTTTATAATAATTTCGACAAGTAACGGAAGACGTCTGGGAAGTGAGCTTCGAAGCAAGGGAGGGCAAGAAAGTCTAAAGATTCAAGGGCAACCACAGCTACAGGAATAAGTGTCATTTGGGCTTTCATTTGAATCAATTCGGCAAGTCTGTGCAGAATATTCAACACGTTCCACAGTTACGATGGACGACGAACGCTCATTTACGGTCGAGATTCCGATTCGACCTCGGAAGCTGCCTCGCCGTGATTCAGCCCTTGCCACGCAAGCCAAGATGGAAGGGGTCATTCATTCACCATTTGAGCATCACTTCCGCTTGTCGCAGCCGCAATATCAACAGTCAAAATGTCCCGAAGGTCTCAAGATCATATCCGGCGCATTTGGAAAGACATTTCGCGACCGGTCGCCGACTGCTTCGACGATAAGCTCGACACATGTCCCGGACTCGGCAACAACGTGCTCCATGCCCATGTCTCCCACCTCGTCAACATTCACGAGAGCGACCACCCCTGACATCGACGGGCCAGAGCGCTTGCATACTCCCTTTATCGCAACAAGGTCCAAGACGAACGGCCATCGGTATCGGGAGTCGTGCGATTCGGGTTCAACATTCGTGGACTCCATTAACGAAGAGAGATTTCCGGCGTATCCGGAATCCATCGGCACGGGGCACAAGGACGACCCGCTCCAACACATGGGTTTCGATGAGGCGGAAGATGACGGGCAGAATGACATGCATCACACTGCGGGGACACCAAGGTAAGCGGTTGAAGTGCGTGCGCCATTTCTAGAGCCACACTGACGAGGGTTCAAGGCCGCAGGCACGGGACGATACCCCCGAGTCGCCATGTGAGGCACCCTTTCCTATCCCTCCTCAGCCACTGAGCGATCGAATGAGCTTCGACTCTGGCTCCGACCGTCTTTCGCGTGCGTGGGAGCCAGCTACGCCAACCCCGGTGGACTTTCCTGATGAGGAGGCCGATGCCGTCTTGGACTATGTCCTCCAGGTGACGTACGGTGTTGAGCTTGAGGAGGTTAACATGCCGCCGTCATTCCTTCGGCAATTTGCCTCGAGGTTCATGCAAGACATCGGCAGATTTGCGTTCGCAGGGTTTCCTGTCGCAACACAATTAACACACACAACATCAACCTCGTCCAATGGTTCGATGCCCCTAGCAAGGAGATCGGGATCTGGCCGGGGATCTCAGAATGGTAAACGAAAGAAGGGCGAGGCAGGCCGCCTGGATGGAGGTGATGACGGCGACGACCTGACTGACGATGACGGCGACTCGAGTGTCCCTTTCAAAAGAGTAAGAGCAACACCTAGGGAGGTAGATGAGAACCTGCGCCTTAGCTGCCCCTTTCGAAAGAGAAATCCGCATCGGTTTAATGTCAGGGAGTACCACTCGTGTGCGATGACCTACTTCCCAAAGTTCGCGGAATTGCGGTCAGTCACTCCCCGTAGAGTCTTATTGAAACGTGAACTAAGACATTGTAGGCAACACATTGTCAAGCAGCACAAGCGCAATGACTCGTCGTCCTTCATGTGTGATCGCTGCAACCGAGACTTTCCTAGCAAGAGGGAACTGAGAGATCATCAGCGTCTACCCAGAGAGCAGATGTGTGATGTCTCTGACCATGATCCAGAGTCAGGTATTGACGGCCCTACAATGACGAAGCTTCTGAGCAGAAAGCGAGCAAGTGGCATGACCCCAGAAGTGCAGTGGAGAGAAATCTGGAACCTCTTGTTTCCGGACGACGATGACTACAGGGTTCAGCCCTTCGGTGAGCAACATACAAACAATTCGTTGTCGTGTGTCTTTCCTGACTATTTTCAGACTTCTGCCCTGTTATTGAGCACTTTGAGTTACAAGCCCAGTTCATGAACAGTCTTAAGGATGTTGAAGATCGCCTCCGGGACAAGGGTATGACTCAACAGGCGCTGGAGACTATCGGCAACATTTATCGCAACCAGTTTATCCAAGTCATCGAGCAGTGCATCGCGGACTCTCAAATGATGCCCTACTCCAACCGAAGTAACCGAAAGAACGAGCCGTCCCCTTCGCGTTTTGTGGCTCCCCGGCACTTGGCCCGCAATGCTCCCCGCCCAGACTCAGGTGTAGACATTGATGACGGCTCTGAGGACAGTCAGTCCGTCGCCATTTTCCCCGGGGGCATGTTTGACGGACAGGGCATGCTGGCTCACTCTGATAGTGTGAGGACCGTAAGACGGGTTTCGTCTACTTCTTCGGAGTTCAGGAACTCAGTGTTGCCACGGACGCTGCAGCCTTTGATGGAGCAGCTGCCAGCCGCTGGGCCGGGCATCGGAGGTTCTCCTTCTCTACAACAGAAGCTGTCGCCCGCGCAGCAACAGCAACAGCAAATACCACAGCAGCCGCTACTGTCTGATCAAAATGTTGACCTCATCCCCATGATGAGTGGAATGACGCCTGAAATGGCAGCACAGCTCTGGGCCTACCGTGATGTCCATGTCGAAACAAGATCATCGCCAGGTCAGATGAACATGTATCCTCCGGCAATGGATACTAATGGGCAGAATCAATTCCTGGACTGGAATTCGGGACTGCAGGATAATAATGAGATGTACAACTTTTCAGGATATATGCCTCGCTAAGTCTTTCTGAAGGAACAATTAATACGAGCTATAGGAGTAGTACACGAGCAAGGGCTTTTTACAATGACTGATGCATATCACGATCTTGGTAGCGGAAAATACATTAATAATAATCCTATTGCCAGGCTATTAGCATTGTAAATGGGCCACGTGCAAGACCCCAAACAAAAGCCAGTGAGTATAATAATCATCCGCCGTATTTGTCAGAGGGACATGATGAAAGTTGAACAATAGCAGCTACCTCGATGTCTAGAGTCTAGATTTTTGCGACAAACGTTCATTAATAATAGTGTACGTTAAAAAAGGGGGAGACTTGAGGCCTCATAAAGGGCGAGATCGGATTGATGAGATTGACACCTCAGTGAGATACGAGCGACAGTTCAATCAATGACTCGCTGTAAGTCATGGCTGCCAACTGCCATGCAGCCATCTGTGAGTAAGCAAGGATAAAAAGTGTGCGGATCGGAAATTGGGCTGCAAGTAAAAATGCGTGTAGGCAGTCAACAAGACCCCTTATCCCGCGAAGTATCCAGACCCAAAGGGTAAAGCACATGTCAGTCGATGACAATAGGGGATGAACACGGGGCCGTTTACTGGGCGAGCGTTTACGAGGCTTGCAGTGTAAACTAACAAGGAGACACTGCCGGTATTATAGTCATCGTCACGGAAGACTTTTGCGCCCGACTTGGTAAGAACAAGTCCGAGGTGTCAAATCGCCTGACACCTTGAATGCGAGTGGATCATTACATAATCATCCTGCATCCAACCTGTCTCGGTCAGGCGACCCCGCGGGTGGTGACGGGGATTTCTTACTTTCACTCCCTCATTATACCTCACAGCCTTCCAGCTGGTTCCATCAACTTGGAGATTCGCGTTCTCTTCACTAGATCCCAAGATAATACAAGTGTTTCTCTGATTTTCGTAAGTCATGCCGATAGCCCACCGTACGAGGCCCCTCGCCTGATAATTACTCCCCCAGCAGGTTCAGCGCTCGTTAACCTCAAAGGCACTTCTGCAGCCATGGCTTGGCTCGGTATGACAGCGCCCCCCGGTGAATTACGCCTTTACTTCCTCTGTATCTATTTCGGCGTAGGTGCGTCCGTATGGGGGTGAGTTAACGAATTCGCGGCATTCAGCAGTCATTTTGCCGGAGACGCGAGGTATCATGCCGAGCGAGTTGCGGTCTCGGAGGTTTGCCGACTACACCAGCGATTCTCTTGATATCGTGGCGTCATGTCATGCTTGACTGTTTTGCCTGGCTTCTATATTGGGCCAAATACGGGAAACTAACGTTACTTCTAGGTACAATATAGGTGTGATGTCTACCGTTATTTCCAATTACGGCTTCGACAATGCTACAGGCCACATGCCTTTGTTTAAGAAGGGATATATCATCAGCTCCTATTACATCGGGACCTCCATCAGCTACCTCCTTCTCTCTCATCCTCTCAGCGACTGGCTTGGGCGCCGGCATGCTGCACTGGTTGGAACTATAGTTGTGTGTATCGGCGCGCTGTTTCAAGCTATTAGCAACGGTCCCACCGGCTTGGGCACAATGATCGCCGGCAGAATCGTTAGCGGACTCGGCGTCGCGATTGTCTCAACTTCTGTGCCGTTATACCAGGCGTGGGTTCAACTCAATGAACTGATACGCATCGACAACTAACTTCTTGCCTGCAGGGAGGTTTCTCCAGCGAAGAAGCGCGGCCACTTTGTGACGGTAAACCACGTTGGTTTTATCGCAGGCATTGCCACGGGTCTTTGGTAGCGTATACCACACATCAGAAAATGTCGGTATTCTAACTATATCAGGGTTGGGTATTTCATGAGGTTTTGGAGGTCAAGGGCTGGGGATTTCTGGGGATGGCGACTATCCATTTTGCTCGAAATAGTCCCGGCCCTCATTTTTGGGCTTGGCTTGCCATGGATCCCTGAAACGTGAGTTCTACGGATTACAAGAATGAACATCTCTAACCATATGAAGACCGAGGTGGCTTGTCGAGCACGGAAAAAAGGACAAAGCGCGCCTAACCCTCTATTGGCTTCGCGAAGGTAATTTCGATGGCGAACAGATCAATCGTGAATTTAGTGCGATCATTGAAGACGTCGATGAGTATCACCATTCCGGATTCAACTGGCTTTCGCTCCTCAAAGAAAAGGCCTTGTTTGCTCGTCTATGGCGTGCTACTTTGCTGCAGTTCATGGCACAGCTCTGCGGTGCATCCGGCATAAAGTACTACCTCCCATATTTATTGCGAAGTCTCGGCCTGAGCATGAAGATTTCTGTGATGGTTACCGCCATTGAAATGACAGTCAAGATATTTTTTACCGTTCTCGAAATGTTCATAATTGATCGCTTCGGACGCAGAAACTGTCTAGCTACTGGCTGTGCTATTATGGCTGTTTCATTATTAGTCAGTCGAAGCCAAAATCTTTCCAGTTTTCCATTGATCATTATAGGCTGACTATTCCGTCTTTAGATCAACGCTGCCTTGCCTCTCGTATATGGCTATGGGGAAAACACAGCTGCTAGTGTCGTCTGCATTATTTTCATTTTCGTATATGCCATGGGCTTTTCCATAGGTTTCGGGCCTGTTACGTGGGTATACAACACAGAGGTAACGGGGCCACTGAGCTTCAAACTGAGTCTTGACTGACATGCAAATTAGATCTTCCCAACATCGGTGCGAGCCCGAGGACTTAACTTTGCCTCAGTGGGCGGCTCTGTTGGTGCCACTATCGTCACCATAGCTTGGAGTTACGGGCTTTCCTTCTTGGGAAACTACATATACTTTCTGTTCGCGGCGATTAATCTCGCCTGTATTCCGGTAAGTATACCATTGAGGACCCCTGACTTCGGCTTGTTACTCACGCTTTCGTCTATGTCAGGTTGTCTACACTTTTTTCCCCGAAACTAAAGGCCGCGGCCTTGAAGAAATGGACGCAATTTTTGGTGCCGTTGACAAGCCAAGAAGTGATTCTGACGGTAAGTCTATAATCTCTCTCGTGCAAATTCTCAAAGCTAATCTAGAGTTAGATGCTTCTGTACCTCTGTTACGGGATGATGCTTCCTACAGGGACTCTGAGGATTCCGCCCCTGGCACTTCAAGAGATGAGGATCACGGTCTCAACCTCACAGGATGATATTGTTTGTCTCACCCGAAGTGTCTGCTGGAACATTTCCAAGAAGAATAGAACTTAATGCTTTCTGCGCCGGATGTATTCCAGTTGGGGTATCAGATGCCGGGGTGCACTTAACGAACAGTATAAGCCTCACCTTCGAGTAGTATTTCATAGATGTTGTTCATTAACATCCTGCCATATCCTGCTATTTAGTCATGATATATGGGATGGTGACACCATCTGAAGCTTGTATTTCCCTTCAAGTACCCAACGATTCTTTTTCATATATTATGGGAGACATTACCTCTATACGGCGGGAACTGTCTATAAGAATACCTTCCGTATGGCAAAATGATCTACCCTGTATTTACGGGCAGCAAACAAAGGGAACCATGGGTTGGCTGCAATTTGTGTGACACACCTATCTCATTTGTGAACCCTTTCACCCTTTCGCCACACTGAAGGAATCTGTGATTGAAAGGGCTCTTGATACGTCATTGGCTCCGTCTTAGAAGTCAAGTCCACGTTCAGGAGTTGGTTCCACCTTACCTCTCCTGTCTTGGAGCTCGATGATGGTTCGTATAACCCATGGATTAATTAAGTTTCCTGTAACTGCGTTGGCTACCCTTGAAATATTCGATGTCGTGAAGCTGGATTAGCATCGTGTGGCTAGTATTAGTGGCGGCCGATACAGATGTGGCGTATCACCCGCACGGACCGCCCTGAATTGGATTCTTAATAGGACAACTACTTTACTCACAAATGATTAGACACTATGGTTCATCACATTCGATGTTTTTCTGACTTGACCTAGTTGTGACAGTCTCTGGAATCGCCCAGGTAACTAGGGCTAGAACTCGGTGCCGTCTTGATAACATCGAATAATAGCCGCCAAGATACGGACACAGCATCAGAGTGATGGTAAAACTGCAACTGTCTTCCCCTGTACTACGTGGTATACTCCAATATCAAGACTTTGTAAGAATAAATAGTTCTCCCTCAACATCGTTGTCGCTGGCAACGAATAACCTTGAGAAGGAGCGGTCCCATGTGATGCCAGACGGCCTAAAGCAAGTCGAGCTCGTACAGGTGTCGACGTTGGTGCTCCAAAGGATGTCTGTGTAGCCAGTCTTGGAGTCCGCCGCCGCAACCGGATCATAGTTTCCGTTCGAGAGCTTCGTAAAGGGGACAGCCGAGACTTTGAAGCCTGTCGCGGGCGACCTGTTCCAGGACCCGTGAAGTGTCACGTACAAGTTCTGGAAAGAACCGTCGAAGGCGGCGCCGATAGGGGCGCTGTGCGCCTGGAACGAGAGTCTCGGGGCAATAGAGCGCTGAATGCAGGTATCGTCGTTAAAAGTGTCATTGGGGGCGACAACAAACTGGTGACCGACCGCGAAGCTCTTGTCGGTGATGACGGAAGGTTCCCAGACAGAAAAGCAAGTCGGGTATCCGTACCACTGTTCGTTTGGCTCAGAAGGGTTTCCGACTAACATATCAAATCAGTTGATACCGGTCAATGAAAAGAAGCATAAGACTACTTACGGAAGTTGAGCTCCTCTGCTGGGTTATCAGTGTGGATATCGTAGCTCTGGCCGTTGACTGTGCGGGCGAAATCGTCACCGCTATTTTCTACACCCCAGACCCTACACCACTCATTGTCAGCATCGAAATCATGATATTCGATTTGATTTCTGACGTACGCATTGTTTCCGTCAGTCGCAAGAGCAACTTCGTTACGTAGGCCGTATCCCAGAAGCCACCCCTGAGAAGCGTAGGCGTACCCTCCCGCTGGGACGCTTCGCATGTCAAATACCTTGACCACAGCACGTGCTACTGCCTTATTGAGCGAATCATAGTCAAAGTTCCCATCAGACCCCTGTTGGATGACGAGAAGGTGCGGCGTCGCAGGTGGGACGAGCAGCGCGCGCGTTGAGTGCCCTTCTTGGTGCATGCTCTTGACGACCACAGTCTGCTCGCTCACAGCCTGCGCCTTTGCATCGTAGGCGTACGACCATGCGGTAGTCATGGAGCTTACATACAGCGTTTTCCCATCTGGTGTGAAGCCAATGCCATGATTGAGCGACGGGTTGCTGATGAGAGTTTTCGTAGCGGAGATGCAGCCGTCGGACCCAAACGTGTGAACCGTGACGCCTTTCCCTGATTGCACAACCAGCAGGTTCCCTTCCGAATCGACTGCTACTCCTCGAGGGGATGTAAGTGACCCGGCAAGCTTCACTGCTCTCCAGCCACTGGCCGTCTCATATCCGGATCTGAAAGGGTTTACGCCCGAGCACGAACTCGGAACGGGAAGCGGGGGGGTGCTGGATGCAACAGGGGACGAAATTGTACTGGGACTTGAAGCCGAGAAAGTGGCAGTGCTGTTGACGACTGGTGAGGACACTATACCGGTGGTGGTGGTGCGGAGCGTCAATGTCGAGAAGACCGTTGATAGCGTCGTTTGGGTTGCCGTGCTGACAGGAGGCTCACTGCCGCTATCGCTCCCAGCCCACGATTCGAACTCGGCTGCTTGTGCAGACTTGAAGCTGTGCATCCAGTTTCCCACACGCTCGTGCCTGCTCAAGGACGTTTGGTTGTTGGCGGGCTCATGAACGGGCACACCGGAGTGGGCGAATGCCAAGTTGTTCTCTCCGCTAGGATCTAGTGATTTCGGGCTGTTGCCGTTTGGAGCCCAGTATGTGCAGCCTTTGCAAAGAGCTGTCACCGAGTAGTGGGTAGTGTTGACGATGGTGCCGGGGAGAACGGTATACACGGCGTCGGCATATGGCGGAGGAGTGGAATAGCCGCTGCTCATGTTCAATTGTCATAGTCACAAAGTCATGAACCAATATACTCACAATGCCATCCGAGAAGAAACAACCACATCACCGCCATTCACCCAAACAATGGTTAGGGGGTTGTTGGTCATGGAGCCTCCCCAAGCCAAACCGGCCCATGCAACCTGAACGGGGGCGGTAATTTGGAAGATGGTATCGTAGGATTTGCCTGAAATGGCTTCCTTAGGAATGGCGATACCAAAGGTGACGCCACCATCATTGGTGTACGAGGCGAAGCAGCGCCCAAAGCTATCGCAATACTCCGACTGCTCTTGAGCAGTAGCTGCAAACACGTCAGGTATGACATGGCAGTCTCGAACGTGTGCTGAATCTTACCAAAGCTGACGAGTGCCACAGCACTGATGGTACTGTTTAGCCAGCGCATAATGTCTGCTTGGTCCTCGGTTCAAGTCATAGGAGTTGCGTTCGCTTCCGCTGTAAGTGATGAATTATCACTGGGGTCCAGGCCCCTTTTGAGATAAGCCACGCTGGCAACCGTCTTGAGATATCAAGTAAGCATTCGGCAGATGGTTCCACGGCAGAATGGCTTCCGCTGTGGCCGAAAGGCGGGTGATGGATAATTGAAATGGAAGGTAGCTGATATAGAGCAAGGTAGGGGAAGGCCATTGCAAACACACATATCGTCATGTTTGATAAAAAAGTAGTCTTGGCGTTACTGAGCAATGGATAAGCGATCCGAACTCGGGTCTGGATCAAACACAGTTACCGTAAGACGGTCTTGGTGCACGGAGGTCGCCAAGTCATAAGATTGTATGTAGGAAATTGTTTGCGAGCCTACCATAATACTGGAACAATGGCTGCAAACGCTTGTGGCCATTTGGCGAGGTACGATGTCTATAATCGAAACGCCTCTGGATCTGATGATCGACGCCTTGTGGGTGATCACTTGAGAGGCCATGATACAAGATGAGGGGAGTACGAGGAGAGCGGCATGTGAGCAAAGCTTCGGTATGAGGTGGGAGGCTGCATCTGCGCATTTGTGACTCCTGTAAGGGGCTCGAGGCTACTTTGAGTAGCTTATGTGGCATTCCCAATGGCATACTAGAGCTGTTGAATCGATCAAAGCAACTGGATTGGGGCGCAGATCAGAGAGCAACGTTGGGACCTTCAAATAAGCGGGCGGAGGTCACACACAACCACTACAAGACGCACAGAACGGCGGTTTGCGCTCCCGAAAGGGGGATGGTACGCGGGCCAAGCGAGTCAAGTTGGAAGCAGGAAAGGGTTGATGGGTGGACAGGGGCCAGAGAGACATTGAGGGATGAGACCATGACCGATTGCGGATTGATGGGGAAGGTAGACTTGGCAATTCGTCGGCCAATCCGATTGTGTTTGATTGGAGTTGATTGCATGGAAGTGATATGCAATCCGTATCAGCTCGAATGTCCATTAAGCAAAAGCACACATTTCGAGGCAAACAATACGCGTGTTATAATGGAGATGCTCGCACTGAGTGTCAGTCTCCTCTGGCCATATGGGTGGGTGGGCTATGCCATGGTGGGCGAGTTCTGGGGAACTCACTGTATTGGGACATCGGTGCAATTGATACTAAGACGGAAAGCCAAGGTGGAACACGTCCATACCGGCTCGCAACAGCCACACTGTCATAGTCATCATCATCATGTTGTGTTTTGAACAGAAAAAAGGGCGAGAGGTGAGGGGTGATTGAGAGCCAGTTGCGAAACGAGGCGTTGGTGAAGGAACAAAGATGGTAGTGATCGATGAGTGAGAGGAGGGAGAAAATGGACAACCAGATGGGGACGATCGAGGGAGGTTCTAATCGATTGAGTGAATAAACTCGACATGGGATCAGCCCATCGCGTAGGTGTCCGTTGCTAAATACGGAGTACAGCTCGTCAGGAATGAAGCCCGGGAGAACAAGCGATCCGGCTATGTCCCAAGACCTTTTCTCCAAGAGGGTTTCCGCAGTCATTTCGTCCGGTTTCCAGGTACCACCACACCACCACAATCACCACCGCCGCCACGACGGGTATTCACTACGCCCAGGCGCGTTTTGATGACTGATACTGCATCAAGAGGTGCCGCGCGTAGCTCCGCCATGAAACTTTAAGTGACCACGACTCCATCCCCCCGCAAATATACGACTTCAAGGGCAGCATGCATGTTCATCAATCAAGGCAGAGTAATGTATTACCGTAGACATGCAGCCAATCTCTCTGCACGACCAGGTGGGAAATGCCCAATAGGCTCAAGAAAGCATAGTAATGAAGGCTTCTCTTGAACACAGAATGAATTAACGAGTATACCAGACGCGGCCCTGAACCATCAATCACCACCTCACCTCGTAGTACTTGTACACTTCTGGAACTCCCAGCTCACGAGCACCAGTCCAATTCCAGCGAAACTCCAAAAAGAGAGGACAGGATTTTACCCCGCCCTTCCGGCAGGGCAAGTCGCATTCATGCATTCGGTCAAGTGCGGCAGGGGGATTGTGGCGTGGGGGGGGGGGGACTCTGACTCCCTTTGTCTTCCTTCCATCTGCCGGTTCTCACGACATCTCATGCACTCCATCCTCATAATCCCAGAAGCAGCGCCCAGCCAGGGAACGGGCTGACTCATCAGACTTGTTCCAATTCTAAGCCTGTAGATCGGGAGGGAAGAGAAAGAGAAAGAGAACACATACAATAATGGCTGCCCCGCGCACTAACGCCCCCGCCGCCGCCGCCCGCGTTCCACTTTCGGCCGTACTGCCGCCGCTGGTGCTCGGCACGGCCACCTTCAACTACCAATACGTGTCGGACCCCGACCGCATGCCCTCGATCGACATCGTCTCGCGTGCCCTCGACCTCGGCGTCAGGGCCTTCGACACCTCCCCTTACTACGGCCCCTCCGAGGCTATCCTCGGCTCCGCCCTGCGTGCCCTCTCCCCGCCCCGCGAGTCCTACTTCCTCGTCACAAAGGCCGGCCGTATCGCCCCGGCCGAGTTCGACTACTCCCCGGCCTGGATGCGCGCATCCGTCCGCCGCAGCCTCGAGCGCCTCAATACCTCCCACCTCGACCTCGTCTACACCCACGACGCAGAGTTTGTCTCCCCCGACGATGTCGTCGCCGCCGTCCGCGAGCTGCGCCGACTCCGCGACGAGGAGGCTCTCGTCCGTTACGTCGGCATCTGCGGCTACCCCGTTCCCGTCCTGTGCGAGCTCGCCGAGAAGGTACTCCGCGAGACCGGCGAGCCCATCGACGCCGTTCAGTCCTTTTCCCACTTTTGCATACAGAACAACACCCTCGGCAGCGACGCCGTCCTGTCGCGGCTGCGGGCCGCCGGCGTCTCCGTCGTCACCAACGCGAGCATGCTGAGCATGGGCCTCCTCACAACCCGCGGCGTCGACGACGGGCCTATGGCGAGCTGGCATCCGGCCCCAAGCCCCTTGCGGAAGTCGTGCAAGGGACTCGTCGGCATCGCCGAGGGCGTCGGCGAGAAGATGGAGGAGGTCGCGCTATACTGGGCCATGGCGAACTGGGCTCGCGTCGGCGCCGTCTTTGGCAGCGAGGTACTGTCACCTGCCTACGATGGCCCCGCCAAGGTCGGTGTCAGCGTCATGGGTGTTACCTCCGTCTCTGAGTTGGAGGAGACGGTTGCCGCTTGGCAGAGCATGCTTCGCGAGTTGGCAGCCGAGAGCAGCACTGACAAGACCCCGACTGATACCTCCCTTCTGAGTAGACATAACAAGATTGAGCGCCTCGTGAAGGAACATATGTGGCCGGCCTTGGGAGAGTGGCGCAATTACAGCTGGGCCAGTCCTGACGAGAATTTTGTGAACCAGCGTACGCAGACCTCTGATGCAGCCGCCGTCGTTGATGCTGCTACGTCCACACTTGCCGCTACCGCCGAGTCTCATATGTAGATGATACCCAGGGGCTATCAGGGCTGGGTCTTTGGTGAATGGCAACACGGGATACTTGGGGGCGAAGAGAAAATAATCAGCCTTGGACCACTGTCATCTTCAGCGTTTGCTTTAAATGCATATAATTGTCGAGCCGAGGTTGACGTCATCTCGACTTCTTGTCTCACGCACTAGCTCATGTTGGGGTAGAATACACTGAGCCAGCCATTCTCACATGACGAAAAAGAAAGAGGGAGGAGAAAACACATCTAATCCACTTTACCCTCCAAAATGTCACGCTAAACGCCCAGAGTGTCCTTGAGTTCCCAACCCAGAGTGTATGCAAATGTCTCCCAAAGCTCTTGTGCCGAAATCCCTGCCACCCGCCGCAGCAGGGCCGTACTCCTCCGTATTACCGTTATTATTCTCTCACTGTATAATCTCGGAGGACCTCTCCACGACGTTGTCGTGACCGAGCCTCTTCATTTCGGTATCCTCTTCAGTTGCTGGCCCTGGGGTCTCGGGGGTGATCATGACTTCGGGAGTTAGTGCCCCGCTGCCAGGAGACACGTCGCCCTTGCTATTTCTGCCGTCAACAGGCTCTTCGGGGACAGTAGATGGCGGCTTTAAAGTGCCAGCACTGGCATGGGTGGGTGACTCGATGGGAGCCTCCTCCATATGCTCGGCTTCGGGTTCGTCTTCAACTTCGTCCTTCTTCCTTGTCGTGGCCCTCTGAACTTTACCCGACGTTCCTCCCTCATTCTCGTTGGTCTCGCCGTTCTCAATATCAACGCCTACCATTTCCGCCAGGCTCCGGAAGTTGAACATCGGCTCAGTGTTGTCGCGGTCGCCCTCTTCGCTTCGGTTACCAACACTCAGTTCGCTCGCCCGAGGATCGAGATATGCCTGATTGATGTAGCTCCCGGCAGCACTATCAGCTAGGGAGGACGAGATGGACGACGCATTACTCATATGTCTAAGATGGGAAGGGCCCCGGCCGGGTGCTGGGATGGGTAATGATGGAGTTGACGAGGTGCTCTGGAAGCTGTTCTCAGAAGACTGCGTCTCGACTGTTGGGCGCTCGACAGCTTTGCCCTTGGAGCTCGTTGTCGGAACCGGTGCTAGAGAAGGGGCGGAAGTGGGGCCCGTGTTGCTCGGCGCCGCGATTGGTGATGTATCGGTGCTGGCACCAGCAGAAGTCGACTGTGCCCCCTGAAGAGGAGCTTCCACGCGAAGGTTGCTGCTAGTGGCACTATTGCCACGGCGTCGACCGAGACCAAGAGAGAGACTGCTAGCGCTCGCAGAGCTTTGCTCAGCCCCGTAGACGCTTTGACGGTCCTGCTTCTTGACAGCTTTGCGCTCCTCCTTGCCCCTCTTCTTGGCTTCTTTGCGTTCCGCCTTCTCCTGCTTGCGCTTCCGCTCTTCCTCCGCTGCGAGAGAGAGGCGGACAGCTTCCATAAACATCATGTCCTCCAGCTCCTCCATCCTGCTTCTCCTGTTATTGAGAGCTCCACGACCCGACGAACCCCGCGGTCCGGGTTCGGGTCCGGCCTGGACAGTTTCGCTTTCGGGATGACGGTTGGGGCTTTCCTCTGCTGGGTGATTAGACGGCCCCGAAGGCGTACGACTACCGGTGTTCCTGCGGCTGAAACGACCAGGCCTCGTAAACGTGAAGCCACGTTGTTGCTCATTGTTGCCCATGAGGAATGCAGCGGTGTGCAATGCTGTTGCCGCTGCAGCCCTCCGGGCTTGATGTGCCCGCTGCGCCGCAAGTTTCGTCGACCAATCCGGGCGTACTCGGTCCGTCGTGACAACGTTCGGGGCGTTAGCCGACAGACTTTGAGCACGTCGCCTGTTGAAAGAGTTGGGTGAAGTCGGTGATAGAGTCGAGCTCAGAGAGCTCTGTGATGACATGGCGGTATTCTGCGACGGGTATCCGATGGCGTAGGAAAGACCACGACGGAATGGGGGAGCGTCGTAAGTTACACCGAACTCCGTCTGTTGACAGTAGGGGCACTGAGCGGGTTCGGAAATCAGCATCTCGGAAGCTTCTTCCGGATTGGCGGGGTTCGGAGGCTGCTCATTCGGTTCGCCGTGGTGTTCGGGATAGTGAGGATCGGCGCGCTTGATCTGGACGAAGCATTCACTACAGATGGGTTGGTCGCAACACCGAGTACGATTCAGGTAAGGCGGATATGTCAGGAAGCAGATGGGGCATTCACAAGCATCCTTGTACAGGAAGACTTCTAGGGGTTGTCCGTTGACGTATGGGTCGTTGGGAAGCCTGATTTCGCGTGGAGCAGCGTCACCCGACGAGTTGCTGCGTGACGCTCCGCTCAAGGCAGCGGCCAGAGCTTTCGCTCGGGGCTTGAAGGGCGAACTGCTACGCTGCTGTTGTTGAGCGGCGTTGGGTGATGAAATGCCGGAGCCAGGCATGGAGCCGCTACGGTCCGAGCCAACGGACAAAGACCTCGGGCCCATTGGGACGGTCAGGCTGGCGAGGTTTTGTGACTGGTCGTCAGGCGAGGCAGGCGAGTTGGGTTGCGGAATAAACTCGGGTGGAGGTTGCTCGTCGGCAGCGGGGATGGGAAGGCCGCGACCGGCGCAAATGAGCTGGTATTCGGTCCAGTTGTCGGAGTAGTCGTTGAGGCCTCTCCAGAAGGGCGCAAGACGCCTCTCAATCTGCCAGGCAGTCAATGTCAGCATACGTTTCAGTGTATGAGGGATTCAAGGCTGAACTTGCCTGCAGTTGGCGAACGATGGGTTTGCTAAAATCTTCGGGGCCAGTGTATGTTCCAAGGGTGACGAGGTAGCCGCCGTCAACATGTTCCTCCTTCATGCTGCGCTCACGCTCCTTCTCTCTGGCAACGCGTTCTCGCTCGAGTCGTCGGGCCTCCCTTTCTTGTCTCGTCTCTCTCCGCTCGTAAGGGGCATCTTCTCTGCTGGCAGCGCTGGAGGATCCGGTTGTTCCGAGTCCGAGTAGGTTGAGGTCGCCTCTGCTA